TGACATGAACTGGTTTGGGTCAGAGCCAATCAGACGCAGCAGTTTTAATCAGAACAAAATCAGCTGCTGTGCTGTGAAGGAGAGCTGACCTACACCTCGCTCCGTCTTTGTTTCTGCTAATCCAGTCAGCAGCCTGCTGAGTGAAATGTGACACGCCTGCATCTCTTCATCATCCACTCAGGTCCACGGGGACGAGGCCGACTCCTAAGAGGGGGGGAGGGTGGCATCTTTTCTTCCCGTGTCTGGAAAACCACCCAGCCCCCGGAATTCTGTGAAAACACTGCACACCACTGATATCAGTGATATCCCAGATGAAGCTACGCCGCTCCTCATCACGATGAATGTGCAGCTAACAGCAGAGGAGGCGAGGAGCTGCATAAACACAGATTATTTTTTCTTTTCCTGCTTCTGCTCAGACAGGATTCACCAAACTGGCAGGAAATCTCTGCCTGCATGAGAAATCTGAATCTGAGTGAGAACTCTGTGCACGGCTTCTGAAAGCTGCTCCTTTAATCTGAGCATAAAAACCTTTAATTCTCGTCTCGCTTCCACTCTGAGGATCCATATTTAACCTGCTTCTTTCAGGGCTTTGTAATTAATATGATGCTTTCACTGTCAAATAAAAGTTTCTCTGTGGATCACATTCTGTCAACACACACCTTCATACTTCCGTGTGCATCTCTGCAGCCCGACAAACAGCTGGACAAATCCAGGCTCTACAGATGGATCCAAATTTATTCTCAGACTCCACATTTCTCGTATACTGGCTGATGCTTCAGCCTCTGAAACCTGCCTGCAGCCTCTGCTGGAGCTGCGCAGAGTTAACATCTCCACTTTTACAACAGAACTAATCACGTTTACAGGCTGCTGCACAAACCTGTGAGGTCTTTGTGCTGTTGGAGCCTTTTTAATGCAATTATCTGAACAACCAGCCAAGAAGTCTGAGTGAAACTCAGGGTTTTATTGGGACGGTACTGATAGCATGCAGCTGTGTGTTCCCTGGTATGATTTTCTAACCCGGCCAGCTAACGCTCTTTTATCCAAATATGGCGTCTTCCATCTGTAACGCGGCGTCCTGCAGCTCTCACTGCGTCCAGGCTTTGCCTCATAATCTTTTTGTTTTCTGTCCCATTTGGTTCTTTAGCCGTCAGAATTGTTGTCTGAAGACCAACAAGGAGACCCAATGGATTTACTTTGCCAAGTGGATCATCACGGCATTGCCGTATTGGTCCATTTGATCGACCTTTGTTGTTATTATTTATTTTATTTTATTTTAAGTTGTTACAGACGGGACAGACAGGACTGAGGGATAGGAAAGGGAGAAAGAAAGATGAAGGAAAAGAAAAACAGGAGGGAAGAGGGACAGTGAGAAAGGGCACTTAAAAAGAGAAAGAGGAGAAAACAAGCAATCATACACTAAACACAACACCATCACGTTAATCTAGCTGAGTGTAAACAGCAGTAAATACTAAATACTGAATGTTGTTGTGTAGCAAGCAGGACCGACAGCGCATAATGTGCTTGGAAATAGCAGCCAATAGAGGTGTAGTTTATGTCTATGAACAGTGAACAGCCTCATACTGATCTGAGAGCTCCACAGGTACCAATGTGGTCGTGAGTGAAGGCGGGTACAGTTATTATTCAATTATTATTACCCATGTCTCCTTGCGCGTCTCCGGGTTGTTCTCCACAAAGATGGCGTGCGTGGCAGAGAGGTACAGAGTCCCGACGCTGGCCTTTCTCTGGCCTGACGACCGGTCCAGCAGACGGACGTTTTCCACCTGAACAAAGTCAGAGACGCACACGTCAACCACTGATCAAAGCATCCTGTGTGTCTGCACGACGCTCTGTGTAATGTTT